AAAATGTTTATTTTTATTCAAGATCGCAACATTGTAATCAATAATACATTATTATGGAAAATAGAGAAAAAAAAATATGAAAACAAAGTAAAATAAAAATTTACATCACTGTACTTGATTATATCGACTTTTAAAATCTTGGGAAACTATTTAAAAAAAATATATGAAAAACCAATTATTGTAAAAAAAATATAAAATATTTTGTTAATGTTTTAATATATATCTTTAAAAAGTACCCCTTTTTAACAATATTTTAGTTAAGAACAGGTGAATTACAGGTAAAAATCAAGATGCCAGTCATTAAGAGGACCCCTAATCCCTAATTTTGTTTTAGTCTTATTATCAAATGTTGGAGAAACGTGATCACACCACTCCAATAAGGAGTCGTCAGAAAAATTTCCTTCATATAGTCTTTAATGTAGATCTTGTCTTGCTAATCAATTTTGCTTATTTAAGTTTATATCTATCTATTATAATTTTCAAGATATAAGGCAAAAATGCAAAAAAATGGTAAAATTTATCATTTATGGGCAATAACTCCTATAGGAAGTCATCTGACAGTTTAGATGTCGATGAACAATTGGTAGAGCTCAACATTCTGAACATTTTTGTTCCCGACAGATTTTCTCTATCTATAACGGTTTTCAAAATAATAGACAAAACTTGCATTTTACCCCTATGTTCTATTTTTAGCCATGTCGGCCATCTTGGTTGGCAGGCGGTGTCACATTTTTAAACTAGATATCCCAATGATGAATGTGGCCAAGTTTGGTTAAATTTGGTCCAGTAGTTTCAGAGGAGAAGATTTATGTAAAAGTTAACGGACAACGATGACGAGAGACAACTGACGACAAAGGACGCCAAATGATGAGAAATTCTCACTTTGCCCTTTGGGCCAGGTGAGCTAAAAATAATAAATCAATAATCTAAAAATGAATGGTTTTATGTACGCATTACATTTTTTATTCTGTTGTGTACCCTTTATTAAGCCTCTCAGCTGACCACATTTGTGTATAGTGAATTCTTTTCTTGTAAAATCTAATTTTCAGCTCTTATCACATGTTTTGAACTACAATATTGCTTTTATCATGAATATGAGTTCTACTTCACACAATCTCAATTATTTCATTGAGTTTCTAATGTTTTTAATCATGATATAATAAGCATGTACATAAATACCTTCCGCAGGATCAGTTAAGGCTTTTGCAACTTGGTTATGAATTTAAGTTCTTTAAGTCATTTAAGCTTAGCTATCAGTAATACTGATATCCTGGTCCAGGCATATCTCGTTAAATGTCTATACAATTTCTTTATCAAGTTGAATTTCTTAAAGTTGGTGGTCTATCATGATTCCATGTTTTTTTGTTAAATATATTTTATTATATAATAGAATTTGGTACCCCAGCACATTTATTAGGATTCAGGGTTATATGAATATTTCTCTAATTCTTCGTCAATTTATCCCTTTCTGCACCCATTGTATAAAAAAAATTTAATCAATGTGTGGTTCGTTTGATCTCAGTTCTTCATTGGTTAAAATCTGATTATGACGTCGAATTTTCTTGCTTTCCTCTGAATTTCCTATTGTGACAGCATGAAAAAAGGCGACCATGCCTGATGACGTCACATAGAAAGAACACATCTTTTTGCAGATCATTCAAAAAGAAGGAATAAGTTTGCCTGCATATTGTTTGAAAATCATTAGAGAAACAGATTCCACCACCAAATCTCGTGTAATACAATATTTATCCACTCTCGACAGTTAAATTTTAAATATTTAAAATTTGAAAATTTAACTGTCTCGAGTGGATAAATATCGTATCACACTCGATGCAGTGGTAGAATCTATATATATATAATATATTCTCAAAGAAATTTTTGTTGTACCAATAAAAATTAAATTGGCCAAAAAAAATAATAAAATATTGTTAAAAGAACGTTAAGATGGGCATCAATTTAATAAAAATTAAATCTCAGCACTTGCTCATTTTTTTTCATGCTTGGTCATAGTAAGTGTGGAGATTTAATTGATTGGATGGGCACCAAAATTATAATACATTGATATATAAAATGTACAATATTCTAGAAACAAAACTTTCAATCGGTTTTTATTTTTTAATGAGATACTGTGTCTTTGTACATGTTTCATTTTTTTTATTTTTGAAACAGTCCTCAAATTTACAAATCCCACTGAATATTTTTTGCCTCTATCCATAAAAATTGATACCATTAAAATGAGTTCACAGAATAAAACAAATATAGTTGATCTATCATATATAGTACATACTGACAAAATCAAAAAAACTTTATGATCAATGAACCATGAAAATAAGTTAAAGGACAGATGAACCCAATATGACATGTACCCCTTACAAACATTCTATAAACCACATATAGCAGATGTATTAGTTTAAGTATCTGAGAAAATGACCAATGACTGAACAATAAAATAATGTCAAGGTCAGTTAAATCTTGTCTGATGTTTTGCAATGATTATCTATACTAAATTATATAATTGTCCTTTCACTCATAATAACTGAAAAAAGGTCATGGGATAAAATAACTACTAAACTATACCACTTTTTTTATGCAGTTATTTAACAATGAGAATGAAGTCAAGGATAAAAAATACCAAAAACTGATTGACCAGCTCTTCTAACTTTTGAAATATAAAGCTGTAAACAAATAGTTTATGCTCTCCTCCTCGTCACTGCCTAAGCACCCCTGCCTTGCACTCTAGCTAGCTGCTACATTCAACCATGGAAGTATTATATTGACAGGAACTACTACGACCCGACTTCAAACGTTTCATCTGCGATGCCGCGCACAATTTAATGACATGTTAATTAACTTGAAACATGGCATGTTATTTACACACCAGCGTGTGGTGCCCTACAATATCGTCATTCTCGGTTGCTTTCACGATTACGGAAATAAAAGAAGAAATGGAAAGTTGTGATAAATTCTTAGGAAACAGCAATTGGCAAACCTTGGCAGATACTGTTACCCTACATCTGCATATGTGTGCCGATTGATAGATTGATGGATTTGTGTGAGACATCATTGATTCTATAGAAAAACACATTGACGATGGAAATTTGTACCATATTAATTGAATAAATGCCCCCTGTTTGATTTGTTTTTCAGAAGAAATTGCACTATATGTAATATATATCGCAAGTTGTGATTATACAATTACTGTTTACTCCAGTGGCACACAATTCATGCATATTTAAGACGATTGTAAAATGATTGTTCTGATAAAAATTAAAGATCAAACAAGATTTGAAATAAATGTAGGAATTATCAAGCTTCGCTCTAAATCCAGATCATTGGTTGGTATACGAATGTTTCAGCTGAGCCCCGATGTGTTGAAATTTTGTAAGTACTGCAACTGTTTACTAATATCATTTGGACAGATAGTGATAAAATATTTTATGGTTAGCTATTCCATAACACTTTATAAGTCTCGTTTTTTTTCTCAAATTGATAAATACGGGTCAAATCATAAGTCATGATTGGCACATTCATAAATGATAAATACAAATACTGACACCGGCTGCATATTATCGGATAAAATTTGTTCAAATACGAATATTTTAGCAGTTTTGAATTTCACAAATGTCAAAAAATTTAAACCCACTATATATATATAATTTTTTTATAAATAACGAGGTTCGTCTTTTTTTTTAACTATATTTTTTATGTATAATTTCTGTGATATTAAGTCCTTGATCGATTATTTTTGCATTTAAAACTGAAAATTTCTACTTTCCAGTGTAATCCAGGTCCGTTGCTATATACATTAATCGGGTCGTCACAGTGTATATATTTATAAGAAAATTTTCGTGACCCGGCGGTAACCAGAACACACCCTTTTGACAGTTTTAATTTAACCCCTGAAGAAATAAAATAATGTCACTCACTATTTTGAATCGTTGTAGAAAATTGATTCTAGGCCGATTTTCATTTTTTATGCATCAGTCGATTTGTTTAAATAAGTTGTTTATGAATAAATGTCAACCTACCACTTGAAATAAGTAAAGGTGTTTTCCGACAGGTATTGATGTTAATCTATCTGGATAAAAACCACGTGATTGATAAGAAGTATCTCTGGTCAATTTATGACCGCGGCATCGCAGATAGTCACAAAAGAAATTAACGACAGCGTACTAATAAGACAGTTTCCATATCTTTTCTACAGTGCTACCCAGGTTATAAATAAGTGCTAATTAATCGTTGTAGTTCCTGTCAGTATAATACTTCCATGATTCAACCAATGTGCGATAAAAATTGGACAAAATTACATATCTGAAAGGGTTAATTCTTAATGTATTCACAAAATTTTGCTTCTTTTTATCAACTTGATGAATTTCCAGTCGATGAAAATGTGACAAATATGTAACAAGAACAAACATCGACTTAAATAATTCTCCCCTTTGGAGTTGGTGTTAACAATTATTCTATTTCAATTCGTTTAGAAAAAAATTTTCAATGGACGTTGACAAATATTTTGAAGGGTTAGATTCCGTGTTCTACCAGTCCATAACTAAGGAAAGCCACCATTTTGAATTCCGAATGTTTTTGGTATGTAATTTCTCAAATTTTTCAAAAAAAATTAACATTTTGTGCCTCAAAATCTTTTTGTCAATATTTAAACCATTCAGAAGCATACTAAAAGTATATATACGTCCAGTATTTATGTTAGACATAGGGAGTATACCTATGATGTCACATTTTTTAGATGCCAAAGACGATGTAACAGTTTCACAGACTTTTTCATTTATGGGATTTTAAAGCCAAAATATTTACTAAAATGAAATTTATCTTAATATGTGGCATTAGAATGGAGATAACTGTATTGTATTTTAAATTTGGTTCGCGTCGCTAGGTTAACTCAATTTGCGACAGTAAAATCTATGTTTCATGAAGGCCAAGATTAAAATACAATACAGTTATCTCCTAATTCACTGCAAAAGAAATAAAATGTGAGAACTCACCAAACAGCACACAAATGATCTGTAGATACCCATGCATTGGGCACTGACATTGTCTGAAAAAGAGTGAAGATAACAAGAAACATATTGCAATAGATTTCATCTAAGTTCGGGGTCAAACTAATCCATGTTGATTCAAACATATCCTTTGTTATTCTATTATTATATGACATCGGTGATAAGTCCATGTCAACAATAGTAAGGACGGGTCAAACATATTTGACCTCACAAAGCTGAGATATACAACTCTATGAAGAGTTGAGTAGAGTCATACAGGAACAGGCTTAGGAAAGACTGATGATAATCTGAATTAAGTTGAAACGGTCATAATTTAATCAAGAAACACAATTTTCCCCATCAACATTTTGAAATACCATCTGAAAAGTGAAGATATGATTAGGCCACTTTGTTTGGCCCTTGAATTCAAAAATCAAAGTATCATAACAATACCAAACAAGAGTGCACACACTGAAATGTCTCACATGCTTTACATATATCATGATTGAATTTACAAAGTCTGTAATACGAAGGTTTCAATGCTAGTATCACTGTCTATCACATAAAATAAACAAATACAAATTCAAATGTTTATTGCCATATAAACTTTAAACAGTAAGTATGTGACAAGTACAAAATAATTATACAATATAACTGAAAATTCATATAACAAGAGGCTCTCAAAAGCCTGAATCGCTCACCTGTAATTTTTTGCTTAAATCTTTCATCAATGATTATTTTTGCTTTTCAATATATATTAATGAGTGAGCTTGAGTTCCATTCATAAAAAAATTAAGAAGATGTGGTATGATTGCCAATGAGACATCTCTCTACTGGAGACCAAATGACGTCAAAGTTAACGTAGACTATAGGTCACGGTATGAGTCACTGTATATGCATGCATTGGCTCAATAATTTCCTTAACATCATAATCACCAGAAACTCATTTCATATGACTTTAAAGCTGATGGTTTGAGTCACTTAAGGTAGGAGTATCTAAATTAAAATCTATAGAATTTTTTTATATTTTGCCAAAATGTACTTCATATCATGCTTTTTCAAAAATATAATAAAAAGTATTGGTCACAGGGCTTCAAGCTAAAGGTTGTGCCAAATTTAAGATTATGTATACCTGTAGATTATACATGGGAAACCTAATATGGTGAGATAGAAAAACAAAAAATTGGGAAAATGGGACTTGTTTCTTGCTACAAACAAAATAGGTAAATTTACAACACATTCCTTTATGAAAGAAGATATCTCTTGTTGATCTCTTAAAATTTGACCCAAAGTCAATTTTGATATCAAAATATGCTAAGAAAAATATATCTCCATGAGCTACTTATTGAGATATTTCAGTTTGACTTGGCCAGTTTGAGAGGAAAACACAAATTTTCATATTTCAATACTTTGCCTAAAAATTTCAGAACTTTCAAACGAAAAGAGATATCTTCTCCTGATTTTTTGAAAAGTGCTCCTTAGTTTATTGGCTTCTAACTTACTAGAAGTTACCTAATTGAAGGATAAATAAGATAAAATTGTTGCGAAAACATGCAACTATTTGTGACAATGAAATAAACACTGATAAATTTCCAGGTCCTAAATGCATTTTTGGATTAACTGCTTTCAACTTTATGCAAATGATTTGATGACATTAGTGTGTTTCCTGGGAAATTTGGATGCAATTCATTAGCAAGGTAGCGAAAACTAGGGCTCATAAAACTACAGATCATAAAGAAATTGCTAATACATTCCATTATTATTTCACCTCGTGTGTTGAAAAGTTACAGTGTAGCTGGGCACCAAGCAACTCAAATTTCAATACTCTGACAAACTATGAACAAATGAAATTTTCTCAAAACTCATCATTCCCCCAGTAAGAGTTACAGAACTATTTAATGAAATAATTAAATTAGATGTTATGACATCTTCTGGTTCTGACAATATAGGTCCAAAGATTTTAAAACTCAGTGCTCCTTTCATAGCATCTTCCTTAACATATATTTTTAATCGAATGATTGATACTGGTGTTTATCCATGTGTTTTAAAAAGGCAGTGGCTATTGTTACGGCTAGCCGGAAGATTGATTGATTGTTGGTTGCTTAACGTCCAGTGGCAAATTTTTCATGCATATTCAGGACGAGAACAAATTAACAATAAATACAATAGGTAGGTTATTTAAAAGGTGTGTCCGGGATTAAGGTCGGAGAAATTTAGACTGCCACGGGAAATGAGGGTATATTGGATAGGGACAGAAATTTAGCCTTGCAACTGGTCACCTACGGACCCCTCAAAGAGCTGTTGCAAGGGTTCTTAACGTGCAAAGAGCGTGGCACTCTCTTTACACGAGGCATCGGATTTAACGTCCCCATTCTGACCGGACGTGGCTGCAAATTTGTACATCCCGCACAGCCAAACGGACGCCCCACTTTAGCAAGGGTTTTACTGCCGGTCGGAGGAAGACCAATGGTGACCATACTTCTATTCCCCAGTCACCCTTGGGGGCCCTAGCCGGAAGAATAGCTTTTCTCTGATATTATGCTAAAGTCACTAATAGTCTTGGAACTTTATTCCATGGGGGTGGGGTATAATTTGGCAGTTCTCTTGGATTTTTAAAAAAGCTTTTGATGTTTTTGATCATGAAATGTTATGCAAAAAACTTGAAATTTATGGCTTCCATGACAATACTGTTGATTTTTTAAAATCATATTTGAAAGAAAGAACACAGCAAGTCCATATCAGTAATCAATATTCTGGTAAAAAATATATAAATTTCGGTGTTCAACAGGGCTCAATACTTGGTCCCATTTTGTTTGTCTTGTACATAAATGACCTTCCACTATATATTAAGAACTGCCATACAGACTTGTATGCAGATGACACAACTATGCATACATCAGGAAAGAGTATTGCTGATATGCAATTAAAAGGAAAAGATGAGCTCCAATGTGTTGAAAAATGGAGTCATGAAAATAATATGTTCATAAATTCTGATAAAACTAAATGTATGGTTATAGATACAAGACAAAGACTGCGTTTCTATCAAGCAGAACCAATTCTAACTATTGAGAATACTATTCTTCAAAAATCATCAATTGAAAAACTTTTAGGTGTTAGAATTACTCTAATCTATCATGAACAGGCCATGTTAATTACTTATGTTTATCAATATCATCTAGACTCCATTTACTCTCTAAGATTAAGAAATTTCTAAATATTGATTCAAGAAAATTGTTTTATAATGATTATATTCTCCCACTGAAAGATTATTATTGTATTATTTGGAGTGGTTGTGCTAAAAATGAGCTAGTACGAATAATAAAATTGCAGAAAAGGGCTGCAAGACTACAGTAGTTTTAAATGTTGATCCACATTCAGCATCAGCACCACTGTTTAAACAGCTTGGGTGGATGACAGTAGGGAACAGAATCTCATACCATAAATCTGTTTTAATGCATAAATGCCTTAAGTATGAAGCCCCTGTATATGTAACTGAAAATTTAAAGAAATGCCAGAAATAAACCAATACATTTGAGGAATACGTCTTACAAATATTTGCAAGTTCCAAAAGCCAAAACAGAGCTGTATAAGAAATCTTTTATATATTCAGGATCTGTTTTATGGAATAGCTTACCAATATCCCTGAAAAAACCAATTGCAGGTACAAGTGCATTTAATAAAGATTTTTAAAAAAATACATGTTGGAACATTGAGAAACTGTGTAATTTTATATGCATAATAATTTTTCACACTTACTTAATGCCAATACTTTATCAATTCACTATTTTACCTGTTTTGAAAATTGTATATTTCATAACAATTTCTCATTTTTCTTATGTGTATGCTTGTTTGATTATTTTGTAATTCTTTGTTTGTTATATTTCAATGTATTTTATGAGGTTCTCATGGAAGATTAGTTTTGTAGCTAACTGTGTAACCCTCTTTAAATAAAGAATTATTATTATTACTTACAATGTGTCAAACTTGACCGAGTTATTACCTGCCCTATTACTGTATTATATGTCCCTCATAGATCTCAGGATATTTTAGCGTTTTCCCATAAAAAAATTTAATGCATGGTGGGTTCCATGGTGAATTGGAATGTATCATACAAAACTTATGTATGGTTAATTTGAACGCGTAGCAAGAAACCTTGTTTGCAATCAATCAAATGAGATTGAATTTGCATAATTGAACTTTATATTTTGACAATTTTAAAAGCAACAGAATAAATTCTTTGTTATAGATTCTATTTATGTACCTTGAAAGTATTTATCACAGATATCAAAAATAGTTTCATTTGAAGTAAATGATTTTAAATAAAACTGAAGCAGTCTTTGATAGTTTTATCTACAAATGTTTATCATTTTTTGTATCCATGTTCAGTTCTCATTCTTCAAGTTCTTCAAGTTAAGTGCCAACTGACTTGAAATGTAAAACAAAAGTCTGAAAATTAAAGAATTCTTTACAAAATGATAGGAATTACTGTGCCAAAGAGTAACAAGGAATGAGCTGTCAAATTGACAGCAAACTGGGTTTTCTGTATTTTGAGAGGTGCTTTCAGCTTTTTTCGACCTGCCACACTTTATGCCTATTTTCCAATCTATCAAGGACCATAACTCCTTGGCTGAACAGTTCATAAGTATTTGAACGGAAACAACATAAAGTGCAAATTTCCTATATATCAAGGACCATATCTCCTGAATGGCAAAATGAAAATCGTCAATATCAATCTTTACCATAATTTTGTCTTCAGTAACAGCATGTTTAAATTTCAAGAGCATTGGTTGTACAGTTCAAACGTATTTGAATGGAAACAACATAAAGTGCCATTTTCCAATAGATCAAGGACTATAACTCCTGAATGGTCAAAGTTAAAATCGTCATTATATAACTTGACCTCCATTTTGTCATCAATAACAACATATTATAATTTGAAACCATTGGAAGAAGGGTTCATAAGTTATTGCACTGAAACTATTGTGCTGCCGCCTGCCACCCGCAGTACTTCACCAATTTAATAACTGGTTTTTTCCTTCAAAAAATCCAGGTAAATATTGATTCCCTATCCATTCTGAGGAAGGTGGATTTCATTCTTCTGAGACCAGCTGGTTTTCTACTATTTGCTCAGAAATATGGTGATGAAGTTATTACTACTCTAACCAGTCAGTCAACTTTGATAGTTGGGACTTGTAAGGTGACATTTGTTTTGGGTTGCTTGGACATAAAAATGGCTGTTATAACTTTGATGAAGCAACTTCAAATTTCAGAAATAAAATGGTTTGTGCATCCACCACAATTTGTTTAATACAGCTCTGAATGTTACAATTTGATATTCCATGAATCAACTGAAAACAATAAAAAGTATTTACTTGCGGAATAGAAGCAGTATACCTGACAAACGTAATCAAACATTTGGCAATTACCGGTTCCAAACTTTAATGGCATTTAATTTCATAACATGTTTTGTTTTACAGATACATCTCAATATAAAAATAAAAAGATTGTTCATGGCCATTGAAAATAAATGTAAGCTTACAAACAGCAACATAAACACCAGCATTAGGACCAATTCAAATTTAAAATGAACAAGAACTATTGAAAACAGAATTCGGTATTAATTTACAATTTCATTTATACACATCTAAGTCATCTAAATGTTCCATAGGTTTCCACAACTCATTTTAACTTCGCAACTTTGACATAATCAATCAACTGTATTAAATATAAAAATAGCGGTGTGTATTAACCAATAAAAATTTCATTGATTGCAAACAAAAAATTGTAAAAAACCTCAATTATAATTGTTTTTTTCACCTATTTCTGAGCGGCGATTTCAATAGGAGACAGTACTCGCATTGAAACATATTTAACTCTTACCATGCTGAATTGTTGAAATAAAAATAAATTTAAAAGTGTTTTGGGGCAAACCAGTGTATCTGGTGGCCTAGACAACCACTGAAGGCCCAAAAACAGTTGCAAAACATCCAACTTGGAGCTAATACATGAAAATTTCATTTCTACCACCTTCTATATTAACTGTTACCAGGCTGAATTGTTTTCAGAAAATGTCTAATTTTTGTTTATTTGCAAACATATGCAAATTATATGCAAATGAGCTATACCCTGCTGCTGGTGCATATTAATTCCAATAAAGCTAAGATAGTGGATCACAGGGCAAAGAAGTTTGGGGTGAGGAGGTGGATTCGGTGGGCTGATCTAAGTCACCAAAAATCTGGAATGTTATCGATTTTTCCTGATTTTTGGCTTCACCTGGACCTGCAACCGCAAGTAGTCATTTCCTAAGTGTATTTTAATAATAAACACAAACAGTAATTATATGCCCGCAGGTTGCCACTACTTTGGAAAGTTTTTGGCCTCTGTACTGTGTGTCCCAGACACCAAAGGGAAGCCCACCCCTCCAGAAAACCCAGTTTTATCTGATTTCAATTTAAGAGGTTCTAAAATAGCCTAGGGAAGAAGCTGTATTTGAGTTAGTACTCAACTTGTGAAACTAGAGGCTCTTAAGAGCCTGTGTCGCTCACCTTGGTCTATGTGCCTATTCAACAAAGGACACTCTCCAACATTGTAGAAAAAAAATAGAATTTATCACAAAAATCTGTTTTGTTGATCTTTTAGTCTGTTTAGTTTCTCTTTATCTTCTTTACTAACTATATAATCAAAATTTGACTTGTTAGTAGATCGTGCCTTGCTGATAATTTTTGTGATTTAAAGTATCTATTTATTTATTATAATTTTTATCATATAAGGCAAAACAAAACACAAAAAAAAAGGTAAAAATCGTCATTAAAACAATAAGTCCAATAAATAGTCGTCGAATGATTTCCTCAATATTGTCTTAATTGTAGATCTGGTTCGCTGATCATTTTTGCCGATTTCAGTTTATATCTATCTATCATAATTTTTAAGATATAAGGCAAAAACACAAGAAATTGGTAAATATTATCATCAAAGGGCAATAACTCTAATAAGGAGTCGACTGACGATTTCGACCATTCAGGCTTAATTGTAGAACTTGTCTTGCTGATCATTTTTGCAACTTAAAGTTTCTCTCTATCTATTATAGATTTCAAGACAATAGGCAAAAATGAAAAAAAAAAATTGTAAAATTTGTTGTTTAAGGGCAATAACTCCTATAAGAGGTTGTCTGACAGTTTTGACATAAATGGACAATTGGTAGAGCTCAACATTCTGAACATTTCTGTTTCTGTCAGATTTTCTCTATTTATAGGGGTTTTTAAAATAATAGACAAAACTTGCATTTTACCCCTATGTTCTATTTGTAGCCATGTCAGCCATCATTGTTGGCAGGCAGGGTCATGGGACACATTTTTAAAACTAGATACCCTAATGATGATTGTGGCCAAGTTTGGTTAAATTTGGTCGAGTAGTTTCAGAGAAGAAGATTTTTGTAAAAGTTAACGGACAACGACGATGAAAAATTAAGAGCATTCTTGACAAATTCAAATATAATTTGTGTGTGGACAGACAACAATATACCATAATATGTCCTGTGCATGACTGGCATAAGAAAATTTACAAACCAATATCCATTTTCATATATTCCATGTCATGGTTTTTGGCACACTCTAAAATCTAAATAATTGATAATCATTTTAACCATATACTTACAGAGGTACTGATAGATAAGTCTGGGTCTGCTATCTACAATTATAAAAAAAATTAAATGTGGTTTAATATTAGTAAAATGGATTTTAGAAATAGTTTAACAAAATATTTTTCCTTTATACCCTTTAGTATTGTTCAGAGACTTTATTCTCCTGACAAAGGCATTTTTTTTAAGCCTTCGTAATAAAATTCAAATATTAGCCTGTTAAGTTTGTTTTTTTTATATGATGAAAAGCTTGTATAGTATTTAGTGTAAAATATAGCATATTAAGTGTAAAATAGAGAATACAGTCATTGATTATAAATTGTCTTAATATATATCTTTCCTGAGATAAATAATATTATCATTCAATTTTTGCAAAATTACCTCTAGCTTTGTGGCAAATTGAAACACACAAAATAGAATTTTGGGTTGATTTTTTTATCACTAATAGAATCAAGGGTCTAAAAAAAATTCATGAGAATTTGGTTTAATATACAGATATATATATATATGTCTTTGTTTGTAAGGCTATACCTAGACTATTACCACATATTGCAATATTGGTGTAAGTAAATATGACAGAAAAAGACACAGACAGGCCAGACAGACAGATTGATTTTTGATTTTTGGTGTTGTAACGCCACTTGGGCTATTTCGTGGCGGCCAGTTTTTTTTGGTGGAGGAAGCCGGAGTGCCCGGAGAAAACCACCTACCTTCGATAGGAAAACTGACAATCCTAGTCAATTAAGATTGCACCCGCACGTGCGGGGTTCAAACTCACAACCTCAGTGTTGACTGGCTAGTGATTACAGTAGTAACTACTTAGACCACTCTGCCACCGAGGCCCCCAGACAGAAAAGACAAACCAGATAGACGGACAGAGAATCACCAGTCAGAGACAAAAATAGACCAGACCAGACAAGAGACAGACAGACAGACCATAGGCCAGCAGACAGAGACAGATCAAATAGACAGACCATAGACAGGCAGACACATACTGATATTTTGAGTTCAGCCAATTGCTACTGATTCTCATAGTTTGTTCTAATGTTGTACTGTTACACCACTGTCACAGGTTAGGAGATGGTTGTGCACACACAAACATGTTAAACCCCACCACTTTCTTTATGTGCATGTCCCATCTCAGGAACCTGCAGTTCAGTGGTTGTCATTGGTTCATGTCTGTTATATTTGTTTTTCGTAAATTATTTTGTTATAAATTCGACCATAAGTTTTCTTATATGAATTGTTTCACATTTTTCATGTTGGGGCCTTTTATAGCCGACTATACGGTATGGGTTTTTTTCATTGCCTATAATTGCTTACATCCACTTTATCTGAACTCTGGTGGATAGCTGTCTTTTGGCAATGGTATCACATCTCCTCTTATTTTACATAAAAGATAGACAGACAAGAGAGACCAGACACAGAATGTAGACACACTAAGACATTCCTGACAGGCAGAGAAAAACCAGACACACAAATACAGTCAGACAAGACCAGACCAGACAGACAAATACTAGACATTCCAGACAGAACTTCCAGACAGACACAAAAGACACATAAGACCAGACACAGGTACACAAAGACATTCCAGACAGACAGACCAGACAAAACAGAGACATGTTATTATTCATGAAACAAACCAAGATGGTCATCCAGTGTTATCTTTTATAAATTTCTTTCAAGTATATATGTGATAGCTGTTTTATTTGGTTTATACAATGTCACTGATAAGCAAGTTTTTTTTTTCTTATTTGTGTCCGGTTTATTTAAGCATTCCTGCCAATTTTGTATTTGAATGTGGCAATATAGTCAAATTATCTATATAGAGTCTATACCACATAACATCTGTGAAATGACCGTAACAAACACTAGGGCGTAAGCTTTAGGCATCCATCAAAGCACACATTCTCATTGGCACTTACATATTACAAGCCTACAGGCACAAATTCAATCAACAAGCAGTTTCTGAAACTTGTGCACTACACACCCACCCCCACCCCCACCCCCAGGATAGAATACATTTCATTTCCAAATGCTCCTCACTACAAATCTCAAACACCTAAAAACCCTCCATTAGTTGTTGGCAATGTATGTAAATCAGGCAGTGCCAAGAGATATTTGTAAGTAGAATTGTCTGTTAATGTCATGCATAATCGACTGCTGTGACCTTATTATCAAAAACCTTCATAGACAATCAGATAGAAACATAGATCCTGACAGTAAAAGATCAGTAGAAACCTAGTTAATGACTTACACACCCTTGGGGAACAGAACTTTCGTAATATGAACTTGACACAATCTACCGATAGATGATTGTTAGTGGAGGATTTCAAATTCCTTACATGATAAACACCACCACCACTCCTGGACCAGACCAAACTCATCCAAGTTTTAAAGTACTCCTAAATCAACAGAGGAATCTACGAGAAAACTTGCAACATGGCAGACAACAACCAAAGACAAACATTGGATTACAGACCTAAAGAATTAGGTGTGGATAAACATGTTTGTGAGCACTCAAACCTCCTCTAATCTGGGACTGTGGTGTAAAAACACAACATAATAACATACAGTAAACATATCAGATAATTTATCAGTGAAAACAAGGATTGATTGATTGATTGTTGGTTGCTTAACGTCCAGTGGCAAGTGAAAACTAGGGAAAATAGTTCTAAGTCTCAAATGCCTGGGTTGCAATATTTGTGACTAATCAATGTAGTGTGTTTAAATGATGCAGTGATCTCCCCAGGCCATTTTAGCGTCGCGGCACGCGACGCAATAATATTTTTCCGTGACACTATAATAATTTCCACAAGGCTATAATTATTTTGAGGATGCTATTTTTTCTTGTCTCTATACATTGCCACAAAATCCATTGTCCTAATTTATGAACTTTCATCTAATTACCGCTTGTGATCATAAAAATTATATCACCTTTAATTGTAATCCCTTCAAGTCGGACAATAGAGGCAATTAAGAGTGATTAAATAGGTGTTATTTGCCCTTTGGGTGATAACTGTTTGGATATGAATAACCTAAGCTGACACATTGTCTATGTTAACTTTCACAAAAATGTTCTCCTCTGAAACTACTAGACCAAAAGTTTGGCAAAATCTTCATTTTGGTATCTAGTTTAAACAAGAAGCTCTTAAGAGCCTGTGTCGCTCACCTAGATCTATGTGCATCTTAAGCAATGGCCCAACATTGTAGACTAGAATATAATTCATGACAAAAATCTCTTTTTTGTTGATCTTATGTTATTTCAAACTAACAACTCGAGAGCGTATATTAAACATTTTGATTTTCGGCAAAATAAGTTTGATACTTCATTAGAAAGTGATCAAAATTGGCTTTAGTTTTAAATACTGGTTCTCTGTAACAATTTAAACTCTTATATAGGGAGTGTGGCATGCATGGTCATGGATTTTCTTCAAACTTCACACACTTACTAGTCTTGATGAAACAAACAAAAAATGGCATAATTTTGGTTGCTAAGCATATCAGTTGCCATAGCAACCGATGACCATTTTTATCTCTTCTGAATATCTATGATTTTCAGCTGAAAAAGGCTATTTTCAACATAATTTTTCATAATAAATAATTAAGAGAATGAATATTGTTTATGATTTTATTAAATATATGCATTTTATTAATGTAATTTAATAACTGATATTTTCATATTCCATTTCAATCATAATCACATATACCCCCCTTTTTATGTGGTCTGCATTAGGTAAAAAATACCCTTTTGAGGTCATTGTTGAATGCTCACCATAATTGTTTACGGACACCTGAGTTAAAGTCAACCATGAATTCATAAATATCATAGTCTTATCTTATCAATGATGCGAAAAAGTAATGGGGAAGAATGTCTCAATATTTTGTTACCATGGATACAAAATGCTTAGGTTTCATTTTTTCAGAAATTTTTTTTTTGAAAATTTTGAAGCAAAATGTTTTAAAACCAAATTCTGCAGTCAGAAAAAAAAAAATAAATATACAATATGTAGAAATTATTGTAATCATCAAAATTTTAAACATATTCATATATAACGGTATTATAGTTTTAACTGTGTTGCTATGGAAACAATTTTATTTTGATACACAAGTTTAAAACAATTTTGAAAAAAAGTTTCAGTTAGTTTCTTAAATGTGCACAAAAGTAGGAAAGCTAAAACACTTATTAAGTTTCACTGTATACACACATGTGTATATATAAATGATTTTGCTAGTATAGTATTTCGATAATGGTGTTATCACTTGAAGGAAACAAACACAATTTCTCTATTCTGGATAAAAGTGCTGATTATAAAGAAATTTCAGTCTGTTTTCATGATCATGAAAAATATACAAGAAAAACAATTACTCAATCTAGAAAAAAACAAATAAAATCATTTAAAAATTACATATTCAATTGTACAATATTTGCCATTAAATGTGTTGCCATGGAAACAAGTAGTTCATTTGCAAAAATACGGATACGTACTAATTTTTACAAATGCGTTTTAATGAGCTTCGATACATATAACAATAAATGTATACAGTTTTGCTTACATAAGCAGGTTTTCTTGTATTTGAGAAATATTAATAATATTCCAGGCATTATTAGTGATAGTGTTGCCATAGAAACAACAAATTACATGTATATGCATAAACTTGGAAAACGCTTGAAAATAGACTAAATCTCTCATACAAAAACTCTCTTCTGTAAGTTTTCAATTTAATGCAGTGTCAAAGAATGATGGCTTTTACAAGTCAGTCCATCAACTAGTATTAAATGCTGTAGTGAAGATTAAAAATCAAAGTGACACTTGGTGTTGACAGTTTGGAATTTAAGCTACTAGCTCCTAACTATTTATACATAATATTAAGAAGATACAATCAGAACATTGACAGTTCAAGAAAGGCCAAGCTTAAAATTGTTTGTGTGAGGCACAGAAATAAATACTTATCACAAATGAAAATAATCAATATAGTTGGCGGGGGGAGGGTAAGATTTTGTAAAAATGAAATGATCGATTAGTTATGGTTTGCTCTGTGTCCAGTG